CTCTCTTTTCCCCCTGAATGAACAAAGAACAAAAAACAAAACCATGGGAAAGAGGGGGCAAAGTAAAATCTGGAAAACCCTCTCATCTCAGATCAGTTGTGCTGCCCAAGAACACGCTGACTCCAGAGGTGTCCAAGCGGGGCAGAGCCGGTGACTCCGGTCCGTGCGGCGGCGGGGGGGAGGCAGCGGCTCTGCTTGATTCCATGGAGTTCTGGGGAGGCACAGTGGCCCCTTGGTTCCAGGAAGCTCTGAGATGTCCCAGGATTCCTTTTGTTCCAAAGAGACCCCACATGTCACAATGGTCCCTTGGTTCCATGAGATTCCACAGTGTCCCTGCATTCCTTTGGTTCCATGAGGCCCTGCAGTGTCACACTGACACTTGATTCCGTGACTTTACAAAGAATCAGAATGGCCCCTTGATTTAAGGCCAACTGATCATGGGGCTGCCTTGGGGGGAGTGTGGGCACCCAGACAAGGGAGTTGTCACCCCCCTGGACTCAGCCCTGGGGTCACCACATCTGGACTGGTCTGTCTGTCTGTGAGGTTCCCCATTCCAAGGAATGAGGAAGAACTGGAGAGGGTCTAGAGGAGATCTGACAAGATGGAGCTTTTCTCCATATTAGAAATAGAATAAAATATCCACAAAGAGTAACACTGAAGGTTCAGACTGAAGGTGAGGAAAAAGAAATGTCACTCAACAGGGACCTTTGTGCTGCAAGAGCTCACCCAGAGGGAGTCAGGACCAGCCCATGGCTTTGTGTTCCAGGGAACAGCCAGAGCTGGTGCAGAACCATCAGGGAGGGTCTAGAAATGCTGCTGGGAGGGGGTGGGAAAGCAGGAGGGGTGTGTGCAGCCTGCAAGGCCAGAGCAGCAGCAGGGCCAGGGCAGGACAGCCTGCAGGAGCGATGGCCAAGGGCTCTGGCAGGGCTGCAAGGCCCAAAGGCACCCAGGCCTTTGTCCCCTTGCCTCTGGCAGCTGCCTCTGCCACTCAGGCCACCACAACCAACTTTCCTGGCAGGTTCTGCCCTTGGGTTCTGCCTCGCCCCTCCCTCAGGAGCCTGGCAGGGGTTGCCCAGTTTTGGCCTTTGTTGTTCCTCCCCCTCCCATCCCAGTGCCCCCCAAACAGCCCTGAGCCAGCCGGGAGGGACAGGATCTGCTGGGCCAGGGCCTGGGGCTCAGGCCTTGGCCTTTGTGCTCCACAAAAGCAAGGCAGGCTTTGCTCAGCATTGCAGGGGCCTGCCCAGAGCCTTTGTCTGCCTGCACTCCTGGCCTCCAAGGAGCTGCTCCAAGGAGTCCCTGGGGAGGCTTTGGCAGTGCCTGCCCTCAGTGGGGCCCAGCAATGCTTCAAGGGACTTGGACTTTGGCTTCTGACTTCTTCAGCAGCTGCTTCAATCTTCTCTCAGCACCTCAGGATCATGGGCTGGGCTGCAAACACACCGTGGGGCTCATTAAATTCCAGATATCCCTCAGGATCTCTTTGTTTTCCTTTAATTGTCTTCAAGGCAATTTCAAAACAAGTCTTCAAAGTTTGTACTTTTTTTGTTTTAATTCAATTATGGATATTTTTTAGTTCAGAGGAGAGGTGATAGAGGTGTTCTCCAAGTAATCTTGATGCTGAGTGTCTCCTCAGGAGATCCACACTGACCCTGGATGATCAACCTTGCTCCTCACCCCCCAACCTCACCAGTTCTGACATGGCCCATCTTGTACTGACAGCTGATGCAACTCCAAACACACTGTGGGACCCATTAAAACACTGAAAAACAAATTATTTTCATTCCTTTAATTGTCTTCAAGTCTTCAAGACTTCTACAGCTAATTGGAGTTGTTTTGTAATTTAGCTAAGGAGGAAGATTTTAAAGTCGAACTTACAAGAAATATATTTTTTTGATGAAAAGGAATGACTTACACAGAGCCTTGGGATGTAAGAGGGTCAGGGCACAAACAAATTGGATCCAAAGATAAGGGGACAAAAGACATTAGTAGCACTTAATCATTGACCAGTTGAACAGTTGTAAAGTGATTCAATAGCATTTGCTACAATTTTAACAGTAACTGAATTATAGATTCACAAGAACAATTCACACCACAGTCAATTCACACCCACACCCAAACAGAGATGTGTGGACACATCAAGAGCTGGGTGTGGAGAGGTCCCTCTCCAAAATTCTTGTTGTCACAGAAACATTCCCCCAAATCCCTTTGTGTTTGCCACCAGACGAACGGGGTCACAGCTGGAGGAATGTTTGTGGAGGGGGATCAGAATTGTCCTGGGCACCAGCGAGGGTCTTTGGAGTGTTGGAAACTGGAGGGTTCCCGAGCTGGGAGAGGCTGCCAGAGGTGTCCCACTGAGAGGGAGGTGCTGGGGAGCTGCCAGGGCCTCCCTCAGCCCCGCTGGTTGTGGGCTCCGAAGGTGACTGGCTTTAGTTATCTGCTGAATTTCCATCCTGGTGTCAGGAATGACTGGAGTTTCCAAACTATTTGGGAATTGTATCCAAACTGTTCCATTTGGGTTACGATTGAGTCAGGGAACATTCCAAGGTTTTCAGGGGATGACTTATTTTCCTGTGTTCCCCATCTCTTACACCCATCCCAGTCAGCTGGATGGTTTATTGACAATGTGTCCCGAGGGGCGGCACCTCCGACGCCATAGAAACCCCTCCCCTGGATTAGGAAACCTTTGGAATTCAGGAGGTGTTCCAGTGGAGCATGAACATGAACAGCAATTTCCCTAAAGCCCAGAGCCCAGCAGAACAAAGGCAGGCCCCATCAGTGTCAGAGCAAAGGTCCCCCATCCCTGTGTCCCTGTGGCCGCTGAGGCGGCAGCGCAGGCCCGAGGCGGTGCCGGGTCCCGGTGCAGCCGGGGCAGAGCGGCGGCTGCGCGAGCGGCAACCCCGGCGGTGAGTGCGGCAGCCCCGTGGGAGCGGCGGCTCCGGGCACAGACGCCGGCGGCAGCCGCTGTGGCTCGTGGAACCGAGTGGCCATTGGGACACTGCAGGGCCTGCTGGAATCCAGGGGCCGGTGGGACACTGGGGAGCCTCTTGGAGCCAAGGGAACCCTGGGATATACTGGAACATCGTGGAATCAAGGAGCCATTGTGACACTGCAGGGCCTCATGGAACCAAAGGAATCCTGGAGAGATAGTGGAAACTCATGAAATCATCAGGGCCATTGTGACACTCCAGAACCTCATGGAACCAAGGGTCCATTGTGACACTGCAGGGCCTCATGGAGCCAAAGGAACCCTGAGAGTTTTTGCAACCTCATGGAATTAGGGGCCATTTCTGGTAGGATGCTCTGTTCTGATAATACCTAAAAAATGGTCAGAATGCAAACAATTCAAGCTCTCTGTAGTGAGTTACTGCTGGTGCCAAGGTGCTGTTTTTAATGTTGAATTATGCTAAACCCAGAATGCTTCTTGAAACTTCAAACACACATCCTGCTTTTTGAAGCAGGATTTGACAGATAAGCTGCTCCCTGGTCTGCAAATATGTCTGGCAGTCAAACCCTTGATAACTGTAAAAGCCCCGTCCAACTGTCATGGGGCAGATTCTTCCACAGACTTCCTTGAAGTGTGTGGAGCTTCTGCCATGAAGCAGGGACAGCTCTTCATGGTCACTGCCCAGGGGTTAAGTGAAAGAGAGGGAACTACCCCTTGTCGCTGTGGGGTGAGTTACCTCAATCTCTGCTTCAGGATTGTTTCTTTTTGCTGGCTTTGATCCAAATGCTTTGATAGAATGACTTTGATAGACTGCACTGTCTAGTGTACACTATACTGCTAGGAGGTTTTGCCTTTTATACTGTGTAGTAAATAATTCTGATTGAGGTCTTTCATCTGTTCACTTGTCTGGTAAATTGTCCGTTCATTTGTCATAATAAATAATTCATTTTCTAGAAATATTTCTGATTTACTGTCACTAAAACCTGCAGGACAAAGTGATTGAATCACACCTCTATAATTCCTTCAATCGAAACCAAAATCTGAGCCTGAGATTGGATCCAGCCACAGCCAGGCTCCTCTCTGAGAAGGAATTTAGAAAGCAAGGGGGTCCTTTGTGCACCTCGTAGCTCAACGAGACGGCTTCTGCCATCAACTTTGACTAAGCCTTCCACCCCCCAGCCCCAAGCCGTGACACAGGGGCATGTCCTGTCCATGCAGTTCAAAGATGGACTCCTGAGCTGGTCATTTGCTGTCCCTCCTTGGAGGGAAGAACAAGCCCAGTGGCCTGGGGTGAGAGGCCAGTGCTGGGAGCGGCGCTGGCTGTGCCAGGGCACTGCTGGGTGCCCCCACCCTGAGCACTCCCCCCCTTGTGCTGGTCACTGCTGGTTTCCTCTGCAGGGCGTTGTGTTGGGCACATCCTGGAGAGCAAAGTGGAAAGCAGATGGAAGCTTTGAGGCCCTGGCCTGAGGAGATGCCCCTGCAGGATGGCAGTGCTGCTGCAGAGGTCAGCTCTGTGCCAGCAGTGCCCGTGGCTGTCCCTGCCTGCAGTCCCTGGACAGTCCTGCAGCAGGACTGGCACCGACTGCCAGAGCACTGAGGCCTCCACCAACACAGGGCTCTGCAGGACAGTGTGGAAGGGAAGGGAGAGGAGGCCAGGCAGGAGAAGGGCTGCTGCTCCCTGGCAGTGCTGCTCTGCTGGGACTCTTTTGTGACCCAGCTCTGCACAGAGGCACCGACCCTGCAGCTGCAGAGAAGTCAGAGAGGAAAGATGTCAGGCAAACAAGCCAATGCAGAGTTCTTTATTTGGTTGAAGCACAGAGTGAGTACAATTGCCAATTTGTACAGCCTGTGGGCCAGGCTAGAAAGGCAAACATTGAATTAGAAATAGTCTTTATATATATATAAATATATTTACATTTTATATATATATATATATCTTTAAATATGTATAAAGTTTTATTGGTGTGAACAAATTCTCACAAAAAAAACACTCCTACTAAGAGTAAAAAATAGAGAAGATATGGTGAACCTTTAATGAAATCCATAACAGGATTGGCCTTTAATGAGGAAGATAGCATGCAGAAGAAGGAGAGTTTATTGCTTTTGAAAAACACCCAGTTATGATTTTTCTCAGGGCATCCTTGAGCTCCTGGTTCCTCAGGCTGTAGATGAAGGGGTTCAGTGCGGGAGACACCACTGAGTACAGAACTGACATAATAAGATCCAGGGATGGGGAGGAGATTGAGGGAGGCTTCAGGTAGGCAAAGAATAAGGTGCTGCTAAACAGAGAGACCACAGCCAGGTGAGGGAGGCAGGTGGAAAAGGCTTTGTGCTGTCCCTCCTCAGAGGGGATCCTCAGCACAGCCCTGAAGATCTGCACATAGGAGAAAACAATGAAAGCAAAACACCCAAATATTAAACAGGCACTAACCACAATAATCCCAAGTTCTCTGAGGTAGCCTGAGTGTGAGCAGGAGAGCTTGAGGATGTGTGGGATTTCACAGAAGAACTGGCCCAGGGCATTGCCCTGGCACAGGGGCAGGGAAAATGTACTGGCTGTGTGTAATAGACCACTGAGAAACCCAGCAGCCCAGGCAGCTGCTGCCATGTGGGCACAAGCTCTGCTGCCCAGGAGGGTCCCGTAGTGCAGGGGTTTGCAGATGGCAACGTAGCGGTCGTAGCACATGATGGTGAGGAGGAAATACTCTGTTTCAAGAAAGACAAGCAGAAAGACCTGTGCAGCACATCCAATGTAAGAGATGGTTGTGGTGTCCCAGAGGGAATTGTGCATGGCTTTGGGGACAGTGGTGCAGATGCAGCCCAGGTCTGTGAGGGAGAGGTTGAGCAGGAAGAAGCCCATGGGGGTGTGCAGGTGGTGGTCGCAGGCTGAGGATGAGGCCGTTGGCCAGGAGGGCAGCCAGGGAGCTGGCCAGGAAGAGCCAGAAGTGCAGGAGCTGCAGCTCCCGCCTGTCTGCGAATGCCAGGAGGAGGAACTGGGTGAGGGAGCTGCTGTTGGACATTTGCTGCTTCTTAGCACAGGGTCTGCTCAGAAAAGGAAGCCACAGGGTAAAATTTAGACAGACGCCTCTGACAATATCACGACAGATTTCAATGCAATTCATTTAAGGATTAAATCAATTTTTTCTCTCTAATACGTGCTGGCAGAGGGCTGTGTGTGGCAGGAGTTCTTGCCATGTGTTGCCAAGTAGTTCAAAGTGTTTCCAGGCCAGCAATGCAGTTGTGCTGGACAGAGCAGGACAGGAGCCCTCCTGCAGAGAAGCCAAGGGCTGGGACAGGAGAGTGCCCACCCCAAGGGAAGGCTCAGCGCTGCCGAGGATCCTGCCCAGGCAGAGCTGGGCCTTGCTGGGGGCAGCACCAAACCCAGCAGCACAGGCCTAGCAGAGAGGGCAGGGTCCCGCAGGGGAGATGTTCTCCAGGCAGAGGCAGCTCCTTGCCCAGCACACAGTGCCCAGCAGAGCTGCAGGGAAGGGCCCCCAGAGCTGCCTGAACACCCCCTCCCCCAGGCCTTGGGGGCACTTGCCCCCCACTCCCTGCCCAGGGTTCTGCTGCCTGGAGCTGTCCCTGCCAGCAGCTGCTTCCCTGGGCCCAGAGCCGGGCTCTGCCAGTGCTGCCAGAGCCCATCCCAGCCCTGGGGGCTCAGCTCTGCCCTGCAGAGCCCTCCCAGCAGCACAGGGCACTGCCCAGGGGCATCTCTGGCTGGGCAGGCTCTGATGGCAATGTCAGAGCAACCCTGAGGAGGCTGGAAAAGTGACACTGATGCTATAACTGTCATAAGACAGTTTTGATGACTGATACTCTCAGGTTCAATCTCCTCTAATCTAACAGAGTTCAACTTTCAGTGTCTCCTCCTGTGCTCAGAGATTGATTTCCCTGTCACAGTCAGCACCCAGACAAACCAGAGTGTAACACTGAAAGAACTGGTTCATTCTCTTGAAGGCACCCCCTGTCTGTCTGTGCCTCTTGCAAATACCTTCTGGGAAATTTCCTGCTTTGATCTGGAGCTGTGACCAGCCCTCATCCCTGCAGCCCACTTTGGAGATCAGAAGGACTCTGCCCTGCTCTGCCCTCCCAGGAGTTCTTCCTTCCCCACAGCCCTTCTCCCCCAGCCCCGTGGCAGCTCCTTGGCCGGGCTGAGAGCTGACCCTGGCAGGCAGCAGAGTCCCTGCCCCAGCACACAGAGCCCTGGGGGCAGGACCCTGCTCTGCACCACAGCCCTGGGCACCCCTGGCTGCACCCCCACCTTCCCACCCCACAGCCAGCCCTGGCACAGGGAACCTTCTGGCCCTGGGCCTCTGAGGGGGCAGCAGCAAGTCCTGCTCTGCAGCAGCTTCTCCTGCTGCACCCCAGCAAATCCAGCAGAGCCATCCTGACAGCTCCTGCCACTGCTGCCATTTGGCAGCTGGCAGAGGCACTTGCAGGAACTCACCTGCACTGCTCTGCAGCCACAGCCTGACCGTGGCAAAGGGCTGGCAAGGTTCCTGCCCTGAGCAGCTCTGCCCTGTCCTCCCACCCCAGGATCCCTTGAACCTCCTGCTCCCTTCTCCTCTCTGCCCTTGCTGCCTGCAGCTCCTGCCCTGCTCTGCCATATGGCCACTTCCCCTGCACTGCAGCAACTGGGAGAGTCCTGCTGAAAGATCCTGGAAGCTGTGGGATGTGCCAGCTTTAGGAAATCCCTCCAGGAAGGCAAGTTGAACTTTCCTACAGCCAGAGAATTCTTCCTTCAAATCCTGGGAAGGTTTCTTGTGAAGTGAGAGCTCAGTCACCTCTCAGCCCAGGCTGCCTCTCATCTCTCTGCCTTCTCTCCTGTGCCCTGGGTGCTGCAGGCAGTGCCCTCAGCCCTGCTGGGCTGTGCAGAGGAGCTGCTCACCAGCAGAGCTGTCTCTTTGAAGCTCTTCTTGCTTGCCAGGAGCTCCCTGTGTGCCAGGAGCCCTGCCCAGCTCAGCAGCACAGCAACAGCCCTAGGCAGCCCTTTCTCTGCCTCTCTGGGCTCCTCCAGCTGTCCCTGGGGCTCCAGGGGAACCTGCTGGCACACAGCTGAAGGAAATAATGATGTGCCTTCTCTCAGCTGGGCACAGACACTTCTTTCAGCACTGTCATTTCTCCAAACAGACACAGAGTTAAGTTCAAGAGGCCCCTTTTCATGTCCCATCCTTAGACAGGAAACCCAGACAGTGCCCAGGAGGGATCTCCTTCACCTGCATTGAGGGAAGGGACTCAGCTGAGTCAACAGAGGTGTCTCCTTGTGGCTCTGCAGACCTGGAGCCAGAAGGACAATCAGCTCCCTGCACAACCCCCATGGGCTGGGATTCCTCCTTCCCCAGCTCAGTGGGCCCAAAACAGGCACCTGCAGGTGACTCCTTGTCCCAGTTCCCATGGGAATGAAGGAAGACCAAAGCCAGGAGTGACCTGCTGGGACACAAACCCCTGGTTCCTTCTGAGGGGCCAGAGGTGACCGAGATTCCTGCTGGGAACTGCAGGCCCCTGCAGGCTCCAATGGAGCAGTTCCTAGGGACAGGGCAGCAGCTGTGGGATCTTCTTGGAGGCTGCTGGGACATTGCTTTGGCCAACTTCAGTGACAGAAAAGGCCCACATGTAGGACAGGGGAACCTGTCACTGTTCTTTCTGTCCAGAGCAGCCCCTAGGGGTGCTCAGGTGACCAAATGCAGTCAGGTGGCACAGGGAGAGAGGTCTCTCTCCTATTCTTTATCAGGGTATTTTCTACATGTCCTCAGAGTACAATGGCAGTTGTCTCCTGGACATCCCTTCAATGCTGAACCTAATTGAGGGCAGCTGAGCCTGGACTGAACAGCCAAAGAGGGGCCTGTAGTGCCAGGGGAGGTGCCAGGGCTCTGCAGCACAAGTGCAGCAGCTGCCCTGGACAGCACAGGGCCTGTGCAGGAAGCCTGTCCCCATTCCCAGCAGTTGTGGGACAGGCACCACCCAGGGCTTCTCAGACACACTGGGGGCCTTTGGGGCAGGGAGTGAATCCCAGCCCTGCAGGGACACAAAGGCTGTCCCTTCTCTGCCCAGCCACGGCCGGGCCAGGCACGAGTCCAAATCCCATCAGCCCAGGCTGTCCACACTTGTTCCCTCCCTCTGCTGGCTCTGCTCTCCCCCAGCATTTCAGCAGCATGTGCTGATCTCCTCAGGGATCAGGCCTGGGATTCTCCCCCTGGGCCTGAGTCCCAGCACGTCCCCCCCCAAGGCCATTGTCAGCAAAGCCTCTGCACAGCCCAGCTCTCGGGGCTTTCAGGGCAGCTTTCCCCACTGCAAGTCTGTTCTTACCCCGGTGCCCCCGCTGAGGGGCTGCAGCCAGACAGGCCCCAATGCCCTGCGTGTGGGGCACAGGAGGAGGAGCTGCAGCCCCAAGTCTCTCTTCATTCCACTTGGAGGGAATAACAGCCCAGGCCTGCTGAGACAGTTCCCAGGTTTTGGTGCTGTGATGGGCTGGGAGAGAAGGCCAAGGAGACCCAGGAGAGAAAGAGCAGGAGAGAGGTGTCCTCAGTGGGAAGGAGCTTCTTGGACCTGTGGAGCTGCTCTGGGGGATGAAGGAATTGGGTGAACTTTTGTGGGTGAGGGTCAGAGGAGAGACTGGTTTGGGTGACCTTGTGGAGTGAGACAAAGAGCCCATTCCAGTTGGCTTTGATAACCCTGGAATTCACTGGAAAGGCACCAGGACAGGATGCAAAGAGTCCCAGAGGTTTGTGCAGGGTCTTGGTCAAGACCCCCCTTGGCACACAGACATTTAGAGCACAGCTGGCAGGTTGGTGGGCAACAGGGAGGCTCATCTGCATCTGCCTCTGTCCAAGAGGAACCAAGAGGTTGCCATAGAAACTGACCGTAGTGATGGGAATGTAGAGTGTATGGTGGTTGCCATGGTAACTGACCATAGCAATGGGACTGTATGATGGTTGCCATGGTAACTGACCGTAGCGATGGCAACATATGATGGTTACCATGGCAACCAACCGTAGCAATGGGAATGTATGATGGTTGCCATGGTAACCATCTATACTAATGGGAATGTATGATGGTTGCCATGGTAACTGACTGTCGCAATGGGAATGTTTGATGGTTGCCATGGTAACTGACTGTAGCAATGGGAATGTATGATGGTTGCCATGGTAACTGACCGTAGGAATGGGAATTTATGCCGTTTGCCACGCTAACTGATTGTAGCAGTGGGAAGTATGATGGTTGCCATGGTAACTGACCATAACAATTGGAATTTATAATGGTTGTCATGGTAACCAACCAAAGCAATGGGAATGTATGATGGTTTCCATGGTAACCGACTGTACCATGGGAATGTATGATGGTTGCCATGGTAACTGAGCATAGCAATGGGAATGTGTGCTGTTTGCCATGGGAACTAATTGTAGCAGTGGGAAGTATGATGGTTGCCTTGGTGACCGACTATAGCAACGGGAACGTATGATGGTTACCATGGTACCTGACCGTAACAACGGGAATGTATGATGGTTACCATGGTAACTGACTGTAACAACAGGAATGTATGATGGTTACCATGGTAACTGACTGTAACAACGGGAATGTATGATGGTTACCATGGTAACTGGCTGTAGTAAAGGGAATGTATGATGGTTGCCATGGTAACTGACTCTACCATCAGGAGGTATGATTGTTGTCATGGTAACGCAGCATAGGAACAGGAATGTATAATGACTGTCATGGTAAACAACTGTAGCAACGGGAATTTATGATGGTTGCCATGGTAACTGACCTTAGAAATTGAAATATATGATGGTT